ACTATTGGGCATGGCAATATGACTTGCTTTGGCCAGTAAAATGTGAGGGGAAGTAGTAAGCTGATAATCCCAAGCCTCAACCATAAGAGACATCTGATCCCTGCCCCCAATGAGAGACCCATGGAGTAGGCTTGATCCAAACAAATGATCTGAATTAATCCCAAACTCACCCTTGTCAGCTGAACCTCAATTGACCTGCAGACATGTGGTCAAGAAATAAATGTTTTTGCTGCAAGCCACTGAGCTACATAGCACGGTTGTGGAAATAGCTGACTGATATTGCTACATTGACCATTGGTGACCTTATTGGCAGTTGTTTGGAACACTAATAGAGGTAGAATCTTTATTAATTTGGAGGGTGCTACACAGTAAGAGAGCCCTGGGGAAATAGCATTAAGTACAGACAACTCAGGAGGTTTGGCTGTGATGGAGAGGAAGAAAGGGGAGACAATAGCCAGAAGGGGACCAGGATAGGAATGTTTGGCATTGTTTGTTTGTTTGTTTGTTTGTGATGGGAGAGAGTAGAATATCTTTAAATAGTCAGAAGTTAAAACTAATTGGGAGGAAGTGGTTGATTATAGAAAACAGAAAAAGATCGTGTGTCTCCTGAGATACTAAGAGGGGATGATATTTAAATACAGGTAGAGGGACTGGCCTTGGAGGAATGAGGAGAAAGGGTGCCAAGTTTAATATAGTCAAAAAGAATTGATAAGAATGGGAGGAGTTTGGGGTAGACTTGCAAATCTGGTGGGGAGGATTTGAGGATATCCCATCTAATTGCTTTAAGTGATTCACTACTTTTCTTTGAAGGAGGAAGCGATATTGTCCAGTTAACATTAGGCTACAAACCACATCTGACCACTTCCCAAATAATATGAATGATAAATAAGAATACATTGCTTGTATTGCTCCTACAGATGAATGCTTTTCAAAGGCTATAGCTCATGGTTTGGTTTTGGGGAACTGCAAGATCTGAATGTGGACAACTATAGAACATTGCTGAGAGAAATTAGAGAAGTCTTACATAAATGGAGAGATATATTATGTTCATGACTGGAAGACTCGGTATTATTAAAATGCCAATTCTTCCCAAAATGACCTATAGAGTCAACACAACCCCAATCAAAATCATTTTTGAGAGAGGTAGGAATTGATACAGTGATTCAAAAATTCATATGAAAAGCAAAGAATGTAGGTACAAAACAATTTTGAAAAAGAACAAAGTTAGAAGACTCCTGCTGTAAGAGATGTATAAGGCAAGGTGTAGGGGAGGAGAGTACATTGCTCCCATGCCTGCTCCAGATGCACCCTCCCAGCACCTCAATTTGTCCACCAGCCCAGAAGTTCTCCAAACCCAATTGTTTAGGAATTTTTAAAAGAGGTTCCATTATGTAGGAATGGTTATTAAATCATTGGTGATTGAACTGCAGCCTCTCTGCCTTCGTGGAGGTTCAGGAGTGGGGCTGAATATGGTTGGTTCGTCTGGAAACCAGACCCCATCCTGAAGCTGTCTAGGGGTATGCCAATAGTCACCTCACTAGCATAAACTCAGGCAAGGTTGAAAGGGCCTCACTGTGAATAACAAAAAACACTCCTATGAGGCAGGAAATTCCGAAGGTTTTTGGATCTCTATGCCTGAAACCAGGGACAAAGACCAAATATATATATTTTCAGTATACCACAGTTTATTAAACACAGATTGCTGAGCCCAAGCCCTGAGTTTCTGACTTAGTAGGTCTGGGAAGGGGTGGAGAATGTGTATTTTAACAAGTTCCCAGGTGCTGCTGATGGTGCTCCTGGAGAATGTCCTTCTGTCCTTGAGGGTCACAATAGTATAATTTGTCTTTCAATTGTTACCCTTCTGACTTATGAACTTCCTTTCTTTCTGTTGACTAGCACATTCAGTCTGTTCAAAACTACCACCAAACTTTACTTCAGAGCAAGAAAGCCCAGAATCTAGGCCAATCCTCACATGGCACATCTCAATCAAGGGAAGAATTGTAGAAACGAAGGTGATGGAAAAGCAAACCACACCTGTTTTGCTTTTCCCCTTCAATTCTATTTCACTTTGGATTTTGATTCATGTGTATATATCTGTCTGTATGTAGCCATAAATTTCCTAAAATCTGCCTTCCTGTTTCACCATTCTCTCCATCTAGATCTAACCCACTCAGATCACCTACAATCACTTTTCTTCAGACAGTCCATTAACTGCTCAGTAAGTCACCCTGCATCTAACTATGGGTTAAAATTCCTCTTTTAAATCAAGCTGAATACCCCCAAATCTACTGTGGCTTTTGAGGAATGGGTGCATGTATGGTAAGAAAAGCAAGTTTAGAAGTCCTCACTGGCCTTGCTGTTTGTTTCCTACTACACATTTGCCCAGTGCCTCCATGCTACCCTGACAGTTGTCCATTCCCCTGGGCATTGAACTACACTCAATGGATGTCTCTACCCAGGGAAGCCTGAGTGTTCTCCAGCTCCCACCCCTCCCCTGGCTTTGAGTGGCCTGAAAAGGAAGATGGACCAAGGGGCTGAGGTAGGAAGTATGTTTAAGGATAAGAAAAATGTAGGCAGTATAGTGTTATGACTAAAATATTCACTTAGGAATCAGGTGGCCCTGGGGTTGGAGTTTGTTTTTGCCTCTTATTAGTTATGTGATTTGGAGCAAGTGAATGTCTATTTGCCTCCATTTCTGTTTCTGTGCAATGGAGCTGATGATAGCTATCTCATACAGAGTTAGTATAATGTAGTAGTTTGAAACATAGATTCTGGTGCCAGACTGCCTGGGTTCAAGTGTTGGCTTGCTGTTGAGTAGCTATAAGGCCTATGAGTAAGTTACTTAACCTCTTTGTGTCTCAGCTTCTACATCTGTAAAACCACAGTGATCACAGTACCACATACAAAATGATAGCATTTCTTATTTGAGGCTCTTGGGATTTGTCTAGCTACTTTTCTCCAAGAAGACCAAAATCAAACTAAAGAATGAAATAATTCCCGATCCCTAAATACTGAAGTCTGAAAAATGCTAGAATGCAGGATTTTGTTGACATTTTACAATCCCTTTATGAGAGTGTTTGTGATAAAGAAACGTTGAATTGTAGACAACAGAAAATCTAGCACAGAGTGGGGCAAAAGTAGGTTTACAGTTGTGAGTATGTAAAACACAATTATGCTTGTATTATTTACTAACTAGAGGCCCAGTGCACAAAATTCATGCATGGGAAGGGTCTGCCCCCTGGTGGTCAGTGAGCGTGATAGCAACTGGTCATTGAATTTGCATATTAGGCTTTTATTATATAGGATTATTATAATACTAGAGGCCCAGCGTGCAAAATCATGCAAGACCCAGACCTGCCACTCCGGCGGGACCCAGGACCCGCTGCTGCCCCCTGGTGGTCAGTGAGCGTGATAGCAACTGGTCATTGAATTTGCATATTAGGCTTTTATTATATAGGATTATTATAATACTAGAGGCCCAGTGCGCAAAATCACGCAAGACCCAGACCTGCTGCTCTGGTGGGATCCCAGACCCACTGTGCATAAGTAGCTTGCCACCACAAGCCACCATGCCGCATGAGCCCCGCCTCGCCCTGTGAGCCGTGAGCTCCTCCATGCCATGCAAGCCATAAACCCTGCTGCGCTGCGCAAGACACAAGCCCCACATAAGCCCCTCCTTGCTGTGTGAGCCCTGCCTTGCCACCGCAAGCAGCTCGCTCGTTTCACTGGGCAAACCACAAGCCCCACATAAGCCCGTCTTTGCTGTGTGAGCCGTGAGCCCTGCCTTGCCGCTGCGAGTGGCTCACTGGTTGCAGGGAGGGACTGAGAGGTGCTCCATGCATCTCCTAGTGACTGGTCATTTGGTCATTCCAGTGTTCCAGCCACTGGCCTTTTATAATATAGATTTTCTATATGAACAACTATAAATCTACTTTTGCCCCACCCTGTACTTATAGGTGCTTTTTACTTCCCCTACCCCAGAAAATTACTTAAATTAAAAAGAGAGAAATGAAAGCGGGAGCCAGATATAACTTGAAACCTGGTTGTGCTGTGAGAAACCCCTCACCCCCAAAGAAGCGGGGAGTGAGAGGGGCACAAACCCAGTAGAACTCAGTGCAGTGGTGGGAGAGCTGGGCTGGAACCAGGGGAGAAAGGGGGTGGCAGTGTAAGCATCAGCCACTTCTGTTTGTCAAACACAATGCAAAACTTTTCCAAATGAAACATTGGAGACTTCAAGAATCAATATTATGAGGCAGTGAAAATGGGTTTTAGTAGGAGATTGGAAATTTCTGGAGGAAATTGAGTATATCAAGGGAAAGAAGCTCCAGTAATCAAGCATTGTCCCACTGTTAATCTCAGGAAAAACTTCACTCACACTTTGCCATGTAATTTAGATAATCTGTAAGAGGTAAGAGGCATGCAAATAAAAATAAACATGATGAAATTCTACTGTCCGTGATGATGATTCAGAGAGTGTCTGAATTTGAGGAAATGCTCCGTTAAGAATGAATTGCTAATAATTAAGTAAAATGTTTGTTCAAGTTTATTGAGTAGCATTAGACTAATAAGAAGCATTATAGAATTGGATACCAGAGACCAACAACATTTTGGTGCAAAAGATGGGAGTAAAAACATTTGTCAAAGCAAACATATAAAAGAATACATCTAAATATCACCCTATAAATGCCTTTCCAGAATATGCTATGAAATTAGGTCTTGGATATCTTTGAATGTTACTAGTTTTTATCTGTGATGGTAACCCCTATAAGGGAACTCTTTAAAAGTAGGAAAAAGACCCCATTCCTCTTACTAGTGAACTTTTGAGTGGAAGCTGTCTACTATGTGGACCCCTATCCTTTGCCAGGCTGGTTTTGTGGGTTTCTCAGGCAGCTTTTTCAGTCTCTTGGGTACAAAATGATTGAAAAGCACTCCCTCATTTCCTTCTTACTTCAAGCCAGATGTTCAGATCTGCGGTTTAAATTTCAATTCCTTTATTTTTCTAGGAAAATTTAGCATTCAACAATAGGTATATTAGTAAAAGACACTTAAATGGAACTTTCCTCCCTGATGAGTAAGAATGCAAACTCCATGTATGTAGGCTTCTTTATTCAAAAAGTTTAAGTTTGCCATTTCAGCCTCCAAAGGGTGATTTTTACATGCATTTTCATGCTTGCTTGTATGGGGAAGCTCTTTAAAATAAAAATTTAAAAAAGATTCAACTGATCATAAAACTGAACCCAGAGCAGGGATGAGGAGGGATGCAGGTGTCCTTGCTGGGATGTTGGCATCAGGCCTTCTGTGTCTAGTATGCGGACCCTCTTTCTCTTGTCGGGATGTGTAATCTAAAAGTTGATGAAACAAAAACATAAATAAGACAGTCATGTTTAGAGAAAGACCACAAACTGTGGCTTTCCCCTGCAGATATCAAGCAAGGAATATTGTGGATACTGGCTTCCAGTTTAGTTTACTGAACTGCTAGAATGAGTCACCCCAACTCTATCTGGTAAGTAATAATGAAGAATTGACATTTGTCTTAGGAACTTCCCATAAGTTTAAAATGGCACCCACTGCCCAGCTGGTGTAGTTCAGTGGTTGAGCGTCCAACCCAGGTTCATGCCAGGAGGTCATGGTTTGATTCCTGGTCAGGTCACATGCCCAGGTTGTGGGCTCAATCCCCAATGGGAGGTTGAACAGGAGGCAGCTGATGAATGATTCTCTCATCACTGATGTTTCTATCTCTCTCTCTCCCTTCCTCTTTCTGAAATCAATAAAGACATATTAAAAATAATTTTTAATGGCACCCATTTTGACTGTCCAGGAAAGAAAAAGCCTTCAGTGTAAATTAGAATCTGAAAAACCCTTTGGATGCCTGACTTACCTCTGTAAATCTACCAACAGATTTTGTGTCCACTTGGATTTAGGATTCAAGCATAGAATTGACCTATTCTTCAACCAGACTCTGGGAGAAAATAAACAAAAATAAAAGTAAAGCAATGTTACATTTTAGTCAATCCTGCATGTAAGATTTGAATATAAAAATAATTATTCGCAGAAGAAGCAAAATTAGAGGTAGGCATTGGGAGTGGGTGATTTATAACCTGGGGTCTGAGGAATAAGAAGAACACCACTTGCAGAAGCATATGTTTGAGCTGGTGAAACTGACTACAAAGCTGACAGAATTTCACAAGTCAGAGGTTAATGTTTTGTTGACAACTTTTATGTGAGTTGGAGATACACCAAATAGCTGACTCCAAGGTTGGCTCACTCTTAAAGCTGTATCACAGTATCTTTCAAATGTTTTTGGCTATTGTGCTTGGGAGAACAAAATAGACTATAAAGCACACTCTCTTGAGGATCTTTTATTTGAAAAAAATTTAATGAAGTCGAGGTGGGAGAGGTTACAGAGCTGATTGCTCTGAGTGACATCTGCATTTTTGGGTTGGGCTACCAGGTACTGAGGCTCTCACCGCTCTAAGACATTAAGTGATAACAAAAACAGCAACAATAACTAATAGCTGATCTTGAGCAAGCACTGACAATGTGCTAGGCATTATGCTCAGCAGGTAACGTAATGTATCTCAGTTAACCTAACGAAAGTCCTGTGCTGGAGGAACTATTATTTCCTGGCCTGCAGATGAAGAACTTGAGTCTTAGTGAGTATATGATGTAGCTTTCCCAAGATTGCACAATAAATACATGATAGAGCAGGATTCGAATAACGGTTATCTGACTCCAGAATCCACACTTGTCGCCACAGCCTTCTATGGGCATAATCAGAATGGTAACCAAGTGGCAGACACACGGTTGCATGTTTACCTGCAGTAGAAGAGGTGAGGCCTTCCAGGTGATAGCCAATTGAGAAAATCTACTCTTTATGGGTGTGACCAAACAAAACACAGTTTCTTGAGGTGTCATTTATGTTAGCTATAAAATGACAAACAGCAAGGATCCAGCTACCTGGCTTTGAATCTCCATCCTTGTTAAGTGAATCGTAAGTAAGAGTTCATAGAACAACTGGATTCTTGGGCAGAGCCTTCCAATTTGGTTTCTGAGTTCATTATGGAAAACCGGATTTCTGGTCATCTGGACTCACAATATTTTGACCTCCTGAATGGTCTGAGTTTCTCATAATAATCTGCATCTTTCATTTCTATATCTGGTTATAGTTTAGTAATGCAGAATTTGGTGAAAAGATATGAAATTACATTTTTATCACTTCAGAACGATTGAAGTTAAAGCAGAGAAAATTACGGTGCATTACTTTCCCTGACTGTGAGGTGAGAGCCTTGACTCATGGCCAAGGAAATGGAGCAGAAAGAAAGAAGTCTCGGTTTTCTACACAACCAGAGGAGCTTCTCCCAGATAGGGCCTGGCTAGACTTCACAGCTCGGAATTTGAGGACAATAATTGTGGTTTAGTTAGAGCTTTCATTGGCAAACAGCTTAGTGAAAGTATAATGCTTTTTTAATTAAAAAGTTTATACACATTTTTTACATTATGGTGTGGTTTTTTTTTTTTTTTTTTTTTTTACAAGTTGAATATAATTAGTCAGAGCCCCAAAGCATTGATATCAAAATGGGACCAAAAAAGTGAGCTGTTTACAAACATTTCAAAAGTCTAAAAAAGAAACATATGTACTACTATCTGTAATACTTTAAACAATAAAATTAAATTAAAAAAAGAAGTCCAAAGAGAGCTTCTAATGAAAACAAAGTCGTCAAAGCCCTAGAAAGATGCTGTGACTAATAACTGAAGGTGTTGTGAGTGCTTAGCTCATTAAAGATAGATCCAGGAAGGCGAAACCGAAGTTCTAAGTGCAGTGACCCTGAACTAAGTGCTTGCCATGCATGCGCTCAGTGATATGCAAAAAGATGTAAGGCTCCATTTAAAATATTCAGTGTAGCCCTGGCCGGTTTGGACCACTGGATAGAGTGTCAGCCTGTGGACTAAAGGGTCCGAGGTTCGATTCAGGCCAAGGGCACATGCCTGGGTTGCAGGCTCGATCCCCAGTGGGGGGCATGCAGGAGGCAGCTGATCAATGATTCTCTCTCATCATTGAGGTTTCTATCTCTCTCTCCCTTTCCCTTCCTCTCTGAAATCAATAAAAATATATTTAAAAAAATAAAATAAGATGTTCAGTGTAACAATCCAAGATTTGTTGAGCTTCTACTACATACCAGGTAAGGGAAAAAGCATTGGGAATAGAGGAAAGAATAATATCTGATCCCTGTCTATAAAAAACTTACTTTATGGCAGGAGTGAAAGAGGGGGTACAAACTTGATTGTCTCAACACAATAAGGGTATAATAATTGCAGTTAACATTAACTGAACATTTACTACTGTGCCAGACACTGTGGCAGGGGCTTTACATACAGGGTGCAGTCTCATTTGCTGTGATGTAGAAAATGCTATGGTACAAATAACCACAGATTTCTCTGGGATTACAAAAAGGGAGGGTCCCAGAAGCAAGGGGCCATACCATTTCAATAAAAGAAAATATCTATTAAACTTTTTGCAGCCACTACCATCCCCTTAGCCTAACTCTTTATTCAGAGTGGGATCAAAATTGACAGAACAAAAAACTAAAGGACATTTCCTTAAAACAGACCTTCAGACAAGGACTGTTATGGAATCTTCTTTTCTTGCTCTTTGACTTCGTGGGAAACAAAGTTTCTGCTTCTGCTGGCAATTTGAATGTGATGGATTCAGGGAGTTTGGGAATGGGAAAAATGTGAGTAAGGTCCTGGCTCGATCCCTTTTGAATGGTGTGACTAGGGCAGTGATTCAACCTCCCTAAGACTCAATTTCTGCATCTGCAAAGGAATGATAACAATAAACATATCTTAGTAGGACTGAGGGATAAAATGAGTGAATGCATGCCAAGCACTTAGTTCAGGGCCTCTGCATGATAAACACTGAACAAATATTGCTGAATCTCATTGTTATTATTATTATTCTCATTATTAGTTTTTGAGACTTGTTAGTGACCCTCAAAGTTAATCACTTTGAGATTCTTGGGTAAGAATACTATGTGGCCTATCATTTGCAACAAATGGATGGGCCTAGAGGATATATGCTAAGTAAAATAAGTCAGACAGAGAAAGGCAAATACCATATTTTCACTTATATGTGAAATCTAAAAAACAAAGAAAAACCCTGAACAAACAAAACAGAAACAAACTCATAGATACAGAGGACAAACTGATGATTGCCAGAAGGGAGTGGGGTTTGGGGGACTGAGTGAAAAAGTTGAAGGGATTAAGTAGTACACATCAGCAGGTACAAAATAGGCATGGGGTGTGAAGTGCAGCATAGGAAATCTACACTAATAAAAGAGAGATGCAAGCTAACCATACCTTTACAACTCCCACCAGCCAATCAGGAGTGAGTATGCAAATTAACACAACAAAGCTGGTGGGTTAATTTGCATGCACAGGTGCTGAGCGGCTGGGGGTGGGGCGGGAAGCTTGTGTAGTTGCCATGGCAATGATGCAGGCATTCTGCACTGCCCTAGGTGCTCCAGGCCTCTGGGCAGCATGGGGAGGCAGAAAGGCTGCTCCGGGCCAGAGCGAAGGCAGTGACAGCAGTCAGGGGAAGAAAGGCCCATTCTTGCAGGAATCTTTGTGCATTGGGCCTCTAGTATAATCAATAATATTGTAATAATTATACTTGGTATCAGACGGGTAACTAGACTTATCGGGGAGATCACCTTGTGAATTATATCAAACTAGAGGCCTGGTACACAAAAATTTGTGCACTTGGCGGGGGAGGGAGGGTCCCTCAGCACGGCCTGTGCCCTCTTGCAGTCTGGGACCCCTCGGGAGATAACGACCTGCTGGCTTAGGCCTGCTCCTGGGTGGCAGAGGGCAGGCCCAATCCCTAGGCGCAGCCCCTGGTCGGGCTCAGAGCAGGGCCAATTTGGGGGTTGGGGCACCAACCCCTGTCACACTCAAGGCAGGGTCGCTGGGGAGGTTGGGGCGCTGCCCCCTGTCACACACAGAGCAGGGCCCATCAGGGGGGTTGGGGCTCCATACCCTGTCATGCACAGAGCAGGGTTGATCAGGGGGTTGAGGAGCTCCCCCCTGTCACTGACAG